GGAAAAGCACTCGTTTCACATGGAAAATACCCACGCTGAGGGGGTCCCCCTCTCATATATATGTACCAGTCCCTGGGCCACGTACCCCCCCCCCCCCCAATGGTATGGTCCCCCCACTCCCCCGCATCATCCGCATCTTGGGGATGATGCTGGCAATGCTGGGGATGCTGTCCAGTGCCGTGCGAGCCCTGCAGCTTCGGTCCCAGACCCCCCTTTCACCCCGTGAACGCACCTCTCGCAACATCCTACCCTAAACCAATGCAACCCCTCCTTAACCCCAACCCTAAATCAACCCAAACCCCAACCCACCCGAAACCCACCGCAAACCAACCCTGAACCAACCCTGAACCAACCCTAAACCAACCCACCAAGCCTCAACCAACTCCGAACCACACCCCAACCACCCAACCACCCAACCACCCCACCACCCCACCACCCCACCACCCCACCACCCCACCACCCCACCACCCCACCACCCCACCACCCCACCACCCCACCACACCACCCCACCACCCCACCACCCCACCACCCCACCACCCCACCACCCCACCACCCCACCACCCCACCACCCCACCACCCCACCACCCCACCACCCCACCACCCCACCACCCACCCCACCCCCCACAGGGGGGGGGGGGAGGGGGGGTTGGGGGGGGGAGGGGGGGGGGAGGGAGGGGGGGGGGGGGGGAGGGGGGGGGGGGGTCCACGGCCTGGAACATTTATATATATATATATATGGTACGCTTTTCCGGTGCCTAAGGTTTTGCTTGATTTCAGTCATTTGTTCAGGTAATTTTAGCATTTGTTGGCCAAACTTGGGCACCAAGGAAGGGGGGTGTGCCACAATTCTACAATTAAGAACTCTGGACCCAAGATTGCTGGGAGACATTCAATGTGACAATCTGGAATTCAAGATTCAAGACTTCAAAACAATCTTTTCTGGAATCCTGGAATATTGAATCTTGCGTCCCACATGGCTTTTTTTGGGGGGGGATTCAAGATTCAACAATTCAACATAATCTTTTTCTGGGAATCTTGAATCTTGAATCTTGAATCTCATATTATGTGTAAAACAACACTTTTTCTGGGAATCTTGAATCTTGAATCCCAGAATTTTAGATTTTGGAACAAAAAAAAGTTGGTCCCAATACTCTCGGTGTTCAATAAGATCCCGGAAAAGCTTTCCATGAAATATTTCAATCTCGAATCTTTAATCCAGTGGTAGAATACGTTGAACAACTTGATCATTTTAGGGTTTGCCCAGGAAGGATGATTCTCAGGAAAGTTGTTGTTTGTGCTATCTTCGATATTGAATCCTCAATCCAGTGGTAAAGCGCTTTCAAGTGTGAGAAGAACTTGAATGTTGTTTGGGTTTGGCCAGGATTGACAATTCTCAGGAAAGTGTTCTGTGTAGTCTTCAATCTTGATTTTGTTCCATCCAGTGGTAAAATACTTTCAAGTGCTTAGCGATCCAGTGGAAACACTTTCAAGTTAATAGTTAGACAAACTGTCAAGTGATTTTGGTGAACGGTTTGCTTCATGTTAGCTATGAAGCATGTTGACCCTTTTCCGGGAGGTCAACAAAGGTAGGTGTAATGCTCAAAAACAATGTATTTACAGTAATTTCTGAAGAGGCGCAGGATCATTAGGGGTACTATATATATATATGTGTAGGTATCTATATATATATATATATGTATACATATGTATGTATGTTCACACACCGTCACCCCCGCCTCTTGAACTACCTCTCCACATTTGCTCATCTACTACCTCCGCTTTTTGAGATAGAATACATTTTGTTGTCCTGTGCAAATACAACTTTAAATACAACTGATTCAGCTAGAATCCCTGATTCGAACCTCTCTTCCCTTGAAATGTCCTTTTGGAACACCGTCTAACAAGTTTAATTTCGGACCTTTCTTATGCTGCAAAAGGGCCAGGATATAAATGGCCGTGGGTCAACACCAATGGTACTATTTTGGGGTAGGTTCACCACCCATGTTAGTCCATTTAAGTGGGGATTGGGATGTTCACTGGGGGTGCGGGGTTTTGACCCATGGCCAAATGACACAGATCGTATTTCGAATTTACTTGTAGAAGTTGCTTAAATGTTTAGCCATGTTTAATCCGAACTGAATTTGAGAAGTAGTCTCTATTCAATTGTTATTATGAAAAGCTAATTGAGTTGTGTTCGTATTAGATTATATCTAACACTTAGACTATATTTGGGAATAAACTCCTAGCTTCTTTTGTTGAAGATTAGTTGGAGTTTGCCCAACACTATACTTATAATCCCATGTAGCTCCTATTTGGAAAGGATTTGCTTGTATAAGCTGTAGTTGAGCAATGTTGAGCATTGACATGATTGAAAACTATATCCTAAACAAATTATATCCAAAATTCCAATTCTAGTTGAAGCAACATCAAATTTGGAAAGGGTATCATATTGGGACATTTCGGATCTTGCCATGATGGACTGCAACCCATTCGTTTGTGCTTAAAATCTATTGGAAAAATCTAAACTCTACAGCCTGCGCGCTGAAAGCAAAGCAAAACCTAGGCACCAGGCAAGGGGTTGCATATATATATATATATGTCTATATATATATATAATAAATAGACGTGAAAGGATGATGAGCTTGAACACAATGCCTCCGCCATCCAGGGCCCCAGCCCAAATGGCCCAAGTCATGGCCGGTGGCGGCCACAAGGAGCCAAAACCTGGGGCTGCGCAGCCCCGAGCACATATGGGAACGACATGCTTCACCGACGCCAAGCAGCGAACAGTGACAAGTCTGCACAGTGAAATGTATGCTCATTCGAAAGGTTTTGAGTGGTAGCCCTGGCCTTGTTCTTGGCAATGCTGCTTCAAAAGCTTCGGTTCATGACAGCGGCATCCAAGAACTGCCAGAGCGACTTCGGCAACGGTATCTGCTTCTATGTTGGATATTCATGCAGCTTGCTTCGCAAGAAGCTCAAAAGGGCATTCCAAGCAGCTGCATTTCACACCACAAGCTGACAATTGGAAAATCCTCAAAACGATGTCGCGATTGAGGCACCCGGCTGGTGGGTCTCTGAAAGGACAGACTCTAAGTTGGTAATCCTGGCCATTGTGGGCGACACCGTCCAGACCTCTTGGGAGTGGCTGCCTGAGGAAGATTCGAAGATTCTTACAAAAAGGGATGGCAGAATTGTTTCTGCCACTACAATTGCTTCGTCAATGCAGAGTTTGCCCTGTGGAGTAGGCTCAGGGAGGGCTGGTCGCGCCTGCAGAACCGGGAAACGTTGTAGAGTACCTGGCGGAAGGGGAACCCTTGAATCTCAATGCACCCCAGACTCTTTGGTGTTCCAACCATAAAAAAAAAAATCGGCCATATCTTGTCTTTAAAGGGAACCCCCTTGCCAAACCAGTGGACTCGCTCAAGGGTTTCAAAGTGCCAACGCAAGGGGTGCAGTGTTTCACAACAGCAACTGATCCCAGTGCTTGCGTACAAACAACTGCAATGTTCTGCAAGGAATGAACTGCTGAGTCTCCTCCTCGTGATCTGAAAGGGATGGACCCTCCCAAAACCTCCCTGAGGCACGTCCAGGCCATGAGAGAAGTTGTGGAAGGGGTTGGCCGATGGGTACTTGGCCTGGCAAAGTGGCACGCTCTGGCCTGCAAAGCATGCTCTTCCAGTTGGTCCAAGAGAAGCAGTGTGTTTCGCTCCCTTCTACGTCTTTCCTGAGGCTTGACCGCTCGTCGGAAGCATTAATGTGCTCCATGAGTCCTCAACATGCTTCGACAGGCTGCACGCTCTACCAATTGAAAACATCCCCCCAGTTCTTCAAAGCTGCAAGTCGCTCGGAATAACGATTCAAAGCGAATTCGACTGGATGCGCGTGGCTTGGCGAGTCAGTGCACCTCACACGCAATCATGAATTTGAACACGGTGCTCTCCGGCACGTGCTCGTGCACCTGACAAATCGAGCGCTCCCTGCTGCCTTTGCAGGATGCCTGCCATTCCGGAAACCCGTGGGGACGGGGGAGACGCATCAGCAATTCCCATGACTCGTCCAGCCATCAACAGGCAGATGAAGCTACGCTACTTTCACTGCACATGGAATCCCAAGTCTCAGAACGACGCAGGTTTGCGCCCTGCAATATCTCGACCAAGTGATTAGCCCAGGGTTCAAGCTGCGCCTCAGACAAAGTCCTTCGTCTCTGTTCGTGGAGCAATGAGCAAAGTGGTACATACAACATGTTTCTTAGAGACTTCATGAGTTGGTATGAACACGTCGTACCCATTCGCACAATGCGCCCGATGAAGTGCATCGCCTGCAACTGCTTCGCTTTCATCCGGCAGAAACACGTCCCAAAGATGAAGCAGCTACTGCGCGTGGTATGCAGACGAAGCATGAAAAAGCATCCGGGCGCCCGCTCCCATCCAGCGCAGCCATCGTGCGCCCACACCTCGTGCAGTGATCGCTCGAGGAAGTTGTTTTCACATAAATCGCGCTCATGACGATTCGGGGCACCTGAAAACACTGTGCCTGTTTGAGCCAACAAAGTGCAACCCCTTGCGCAAGAATCTAAATATGCGAAGCACTAGACAACATATCAAAGTGACGGACGATCCTACGTGTTTGCCGACTGCGAAG